GTCTGTCTGTCTGTCTGTCTGTATGTCTGTATGTCTGTATGTCTGTATGTCTGTATGTCTGTATGTCTGTATGTCTGTATGTCTGTATGTCTGTATGTCTGTATGTCTGTATGTCTGTATGTCTGTATGTTTGTATGTCTGTATGTCTGTATGTCTGTATGTCTGTATGTCTGTATGTCTGTATGTCTGTATGTATGTATGTATGTATGTATGTATGTATGTGTGTATGTATGTATATCGCTTTTGGTTCGTAATGGGCCTACCTGGCGGCATTGGGTTTGGGTTTTGGGGCAGGATCTTGCGTTTAAGTGCTTCAGACAGTTGGGTGGGCAAGAGCCATAAATGAAGCTTCAAAAGACATTAAGGCTGCGCAATACCGTGATCTACGCATCCAGCCGGGCAGTTCACCCATCCGTTACTTAGGCCCTACACCAAGGTCCTAGTTGGTGCTTAATGCTAGCAAGGGAGAGTTATAAGTAGGATTCTGGAGGTATATGCCGGCACACTACAGGGATCCACTCCAAAACTCCCAGTTCAGCCACCGGTAAGGGCTTTGCAGGTTCAAGGGTTCCCTGGGGGATTTTCAGTGTGACAGAGTAGGTTTGAACGGCCTGGCATTTGCACCAAGGCTAAGCCATGAACCTATGTGTAACACGGTTAGGCGATTATGGTTTGGTTAGTGTAGGGGCCGAAGTAAGTAAATGGTACTTGTACGGTAGATGCCTGAACCATTTCAAGAGGCTCTAAATGGGGTATACTATGGTATGGTTGCAGAAGGACTATAAAGGAATTGCTTGCTACTTACGACCTCGCCGTAGACCCTAAAGCATCTGCATTAAGTTGCATGGCGAAGCATGGGATGATCGCCGGCATCCCGGTATGGGCAGACATAGGTAAATGAGGGGGCATCAGGGGAATAAGAAGGTTTGCTTGTGGACTCTGTAGTCAGCATTCACAGAACCGCACATGTAAGACACAAGCACACACGCTTGAACCAACTTGTGAACTGATTATTTACACCAAGTTTGAATAAGGCAACCTGTAACAATACAACCACTAGGATGTGATAACCTTACTCTAAATAGGCGACAAGAGCATTCCCGGTGTGAAGCACTACTTACCCTAAACCCTAAACCCTGGACCCCAAAGCCTCTTGATAACACCTCTGATGACTGATAGGGATCCGTCATCCAAAATGCGGCTCACTTCAAGGCGGCTCCCCAACTTATAGCCCCAAACCCCTCCTTTGCCCAAAGAAGCATGAAAACCCAACATGGGCTCTTTGAAGGCTCTTTCCGTTGTAAAGGGGGGGTTCCATGTTAGTTGGAGGGAAGCTAAGAAAATCCCAATACGCCACCCTAAGCTCTAGCCTTGAAGACCTAAATCCACTGCATGACTAGTCTGGCTGCCACGCGAAACGCTCTCCGCCCAACATACAAAACCCTAAGCATCAAAATCATCCAAAAACTTATATAGTAGGGTCTTTGGGCCAAATTCCTTCAAATATGAATCCTTAGATGCTTAGGGAAAGAAATCATGCAGCCCCCATTCCCCGTTGAATCCGAACAGTCTCTTTGCAGCTTGTAGGGCCATCGTTGGACTTTCATATTAGATCTCACAGGGGGATTTGGGTTACCCCAACCCGGATCTCGAGGACTCCATAAATACCATACAACCCCTATATATCTACCCTACTAGAATATAGCAGTTTCCATTTCCTTTTCCATTATCCCTATATGTACCCCTAAAACCCTTGGGACCTTATTTTGGTGGTCGGGACTCCGTAAGCCCTCTTGTTGAATTCTGGGGAATGTATAGTCCCCCTTAAGCAGATAGAATATGGCTTTGGGTATATTGCAAAAAGATCCCCATATACCCCATATTCTATCTACTTAAGGGGCACTAATAGCCTGACCCCCAAGGACTTCGGGCGCCTTCGCGCCGCGAGTCGAAACGCCCGCAGGAGCTCGCAATGTGCGGCTCTGCATGGCTCAATTTTGTCCAGGGGGTTAATAGGAATAAGGGCATATTTTGTAATACGGGTAAAATAGGGATGATAGGGATTATATCCCCTTCTTCCCTACAAAGCAATAGGGCTTATAGAGATTATATCCCCTTCTTTCCTACCAAGCAGTAGAAAGAAAACTTGTCCAGGGGTGCTTCGACCCTTACCCTACTGTTGATGGATGAAATCTTGCACCACCTAGGGCCCCTAAACTACTGTAATTCCTAGGACTTTAAGGACTTAAGGTGGTGCAAGATTTCCTTCATCAGTAGTATAAGGGTCACAGCATCTCTCGGGTGCGTGGACCTTCGCGTTGACGGCTTTCATTTGCCCTGCAAGAGCTTTCAGTGGCCTGGTGGCCGAACTTTTGAAGACAAGGTCTTGGAGCAAACTGTAAGAAGTATCCCTAGAAGCCCAGGTACCCATATAGTAGGTCCTTGGGCTATAGATAGTATAAGGTTATATAGGGACTTAAGGACAGGAACCCCATATATAGGTAACTGGGCTTCTAGGGTATTATATGCCCTACAGTTACATAGCCCAGTAACCTACTATTTATAAGATTACTGGGAGCCCTAGGGACAAGTATTTCAAGAAGGAGCATCAGAAGTTGACGCAAGTATCGCTTCTCATAAAATGCAGTGCAGGAAGGGATCCAAAAAGCTCCCGAAACCTATATGGGAGTCTGCAATTCTCAGGGTTTAGGGTTTAGGGGTCTCATTTTGGGGGTTCCTAAAATATTAATACTAACAAAAAGAAGAAGCAGAATGATAAGGTTTATGTTTTGCATCTACATAAGCGTCCCTACACCCCAGATCTGTTGCCCAAGCACCTTGTGAAAGTAATATGCCAGGTGATCTAGTGCGCTCACCCAAGAAAGATGCCCCCACCCGCTCCTAGGGTTAAGGGCTTAGGGTTTGGTGTTTATTTAGGGTTCAGGGTTTCGGGCTTAGGGTTTGCAAATCAGGTGTGGGAATTTGTACATGCACATGTTAGATGATATCAGGACCTCTGGAGGAAAGCTTTTTTAATCCGTGGGTGTGGGATCTTCCTTGCCGGAAGGGAATGACGCGAAGGATCAACTAAGTGGTTGATTGCTGAGTAACGAAACATTGAGAAGAGCTGATAACCGTCTGCCACTTAGGGTGCAGGGCTTAGGTTCTACAAGCCGCGGACCAAACACCTATACAGGAAGTTGTTCAGGTACTTGGACCATTAGGGCGTATCAGCGGAGACACCAAAGCCTAAACCCCAAAATCTGAACCCCGAACAACAGGTATGTCGCTGTTCACAGTGAGGCCATAATAGCAGCTTCTGCTGACATGAACAACGGACAATCTGAACCAACCTTGTCCCACAAAAGCTTCAAACACAAAAACGATTCAAGATCGGGGCTTAGGGTTCAGGATTTAAGGTCGAGGGTGTAGCATCCCTCGACTTTGGGTCCTGAGTTCAGGGTCTGCGGTTTAGGGTCTAGAGTACAGCGTTCAGGGCACATTATCGGGCCTTTTCTTGTTCTGACAGATAAGGCCACCTGGACTGATTCCTTTTGAAAAGGGGTTTGGGGCTTCGAACGCCATGAAAAGTAAGAACTACAGGTATGTTTACAGTCATCCCCAATGAGCTCCGCGTACACACGTTCACTGCTACTCCTTAGCAACCTTGCAACTTTATCAGCACTCAGCAAAACATCTGTACAAACCCTTATCTAATGTATAAGGGAATACCCCGGAACCCTGAACCCTGAACCTATACCTACGAATCTCAGGGTCCCTTGGCGAGGTCCTCACTTAGCAAAGGGCTTGAGCTAGACCTCGTCTCAATACAAAAACTCTTTAGACACACGAGGATTGTAGGGACTAGGGTTTAAGGATTAGAGTTCAGGGGTGACTTCTGAAGAACTATATGGAGGGGCTATATCCAAACCCCTTAAAGGGGGTTATATGGGGAATGAAATAAGATTCAAGGTGTAGGGTCTAAACTCCTCAAGTTTAAGGGGGAGTTATCTATCCAAAGCTCCCATGTCTTCCAAATAAGGAAACCTTCCACAAGGACTCCGAACAAGCTCGAGCCCCCTTCACACCCTTGATCGCCTAGAGAACACCAAACGTCCCTGCAGGCAATTGCTAAAACCCCAATATATACTCTTATACTTTACCCCTAATTAATCGTTGCCATTTATTTTCAAGTATTCCCTATAGAACCCCAATGTAGCCCCAAAGTATCAGACTTCCATAAAAACCCTGAAAACCCTGGACGACCGCTATGCCAAAGAGGTGCTCGTGCAAGGAAATTCCTGACGTCAAGACATTTTCTCACAACATTGATACTGTTGATGGAGGTAATCTTGCACCACCTTAAGTCCTTAAAGTCCTAGGAATTACAGTAGTTTAGGGCCCCTAGGTGGTGCAAGATTTCATCCATCAACAGTAGTCCCGACTATGACCCACTTGATCGTCATAGCTAGTCCCTCTCAAGGATGCCATTTTGCGACACTTCCGCTAAAACAGGGGAAAACACCATCCACAACACCCAAATCCTACAGCCCTTGGCCCCTAAAACCATTGACGGGATACCCCTCAAGTGCTTTTAGAGTGAAATCTTTAATGCCCTCATCGTTCTTTTGCTCCGACAGATCCAGCTGAAGTCGGCCACGGTTTGCTTCCTGCAATTTCAACCCATTGGGCTTGCGCTAGAATATGGGTAGCTTCTAGGGTTTAGGATTTAGGGTTTGAGGGTTTAGGGATTTCGGTGCCCCTAGATATTAGGGCTGTAATACAATCTGGAACCAGAAGGTGCCCATAGTTTTGAGAACAACCCATATAGGGATGTATTGGAGCTTTCCCAAGAATTACGGGGGCATTTTCGGGGGTGTACCTAGGATGATCATATCTAGGGGGTCCGGTACTTATGAAACTACTGTATAGGAATGCCATCTATCTATCTTCTTCTATAGGCTATGCGACACCCGAAGGTGTCGCGGAGGCGTACCTCCAGCCCGAGAGGTTCACGGTCGAAGGCATCTATTTATCTTTCTCTCTCTCTCTCTCTCTCTCTCTCTCCATCCTTCCCTACCTAAGGCTCTTGGACCCCCTAGTGGAATCCCCAGCTTTAAGCATACTTTCTTATTCCCAAATAACCCGCAGTAAGCCAGTGTTCACAGCTGAAGGTTTAGGGCTTAAGGATTAGGATTTGGGATTCAGGCTTCTTAGGCTTAAAGGTTTGAAGGGTTGAACCCTGGACCCTAAACCCTAGGCTTAAGGTTTTGGGATTAGGGTTTCGGGTTGCCCTACACCCTGAACCCTGAACCTAAACCCTAAACCCTGAACCCTAAACCCTAAACCCTAAACTCTAAACAATGAACCCTGAACCCTAAACCCTAGACCGTTTAGCCTTCAGGGTCAGGGCTTAACTTCTTTCGTCAGTCCTGGACCCACACAGGAATGCCTTCGTTTCGCAACATCTCCATGACCTCAAGTGAGCAACGGACTAGGGTTTAGGGTTTGTGGCCACAGTTAGGCTAGGGGGATACGTAGTGGTCTATAGGGGGAACTGTTAAGGAATGTACTAGAACTTGAATCCGGGGGTCAAGTCCTCCACAAATCATAACAGTCCAACCTTTAGGGTTTATAGCGTTAAGGTTTATTTGGGTGCTGGTCATTGCTTACAAGTTTCTTTTTGTGGGAAGTAAATGATTATTGCGTACTTGGGCCTTTAGGGGAATGACTGACTGAGCCACACATTCCGGGTAAACAGCTGGAGTTTCCGTTGTTCCAGAACAGATTGAGTTGCTCAGGGCTCAGTCTTGGTAACCTCCGCAGAAGATACCCTAGGGATTTCAGAGCATCATCGCAAGAAACTTATGAATTTGAGGGCAACTAGGGCTAAGTATTAAACCAACTATGAAAGCTCGATACACCAATACGGACACATATTTTGGCCCAAATCGCACCTTATCTACCAGGACCTTCCTTGTACCCTTAATTGGGGATATATGGTCCCTAATAGTGGGTATTTAGGCCCTAATAGAGGGTAGGAGGAGGGTCTAGCTAGATGCTTGAACGTTTAGGGTTCCAAAATAAGGTTAGTCGAGGTAGACAGGAGCTGGTACAGCGTCGTGCTGCGCACTGCCTAGCAATCTACACAAGGCTACACACACACACAGAGTGTGTGTGTGTGTGTCAACATTCAGATGGCAATGGTGCCTGCACAATGGATCCTAGCATATGCTGATACCATATAAAACCGGGCGACGTGACATCTCAGGACATACAGGGTGTTGCGAATAGCTATGACTTCAGGGTATTTCTCAAAAACCGCCGCGTTCCGGATGCATTAGCGTGGTGCACATGAATGCGATTTGTTATATGACATGAGCTATAGTCTAAACTCCAAGTATCCCCAGTGGTAAGCCCTATACTACTCCCCTATATAATCCCGTATATGACCTTGAAGAGTTTAAACTGAAGGTCACATGACACTGAGACCCATCCCCGATCCTGAAGCCACCTGGTGCTAAAAAGGGAACTGCCCTTGACTTCTTTTCACAAAAACATTCGGGAATTTCTGGTTTTTTGGGGTGGTTACTCCTGGGAACTCTGAAAACACACGGCAACTATAAAAAGGACTTTGAGGATTCATAGTAAGGATTGTAGAGGGTTCATGTTCAGATGCTTCTAGTTCTGCGGCCATGCTTTGTGGCGGGGACCAAAACCTGGCTGCCCAGAGACTTTTTTCTTGTAAATAGGGAACACAAGAATGTACAAGAAAATTGACACGACTATGGGGAATTACGTGGATACCTCTAGAATCACTGCAAAGATCCGTCTATTCCTTGATTCCTAGCTAACAAGAAGTAGAATCCTTAATCATAAACCCTAAACCTTAAAGCCTTCTCAGCCAAGACGCAAAGCTTTGAATGTTTGAAGTTTGCCAGGATGGGCGAGACCTGCAATGGAAACCACTCCCTCATAATAGGGTTTCGGGGTTTAGGGTTGACCATAAAGCCTGAATAGTTCTATGCAGCCACATACAGATATATCAACGAATATCCGTATGTAACGCCGTATGTCCCTACATAACCCTCCAGCAAGCCGCACCAAAGTCGAGTCGCAGCTCGAGGCGCTACGTTCACCGATGTATACCCCAAGACCGCAAAACAGTACCTATACATCGGGTAGTGCCCCCAAACAGTGTAACCATCTCTCCTGGGGGTGATAGAAAGGGCTCCATACTCCTACTATGCTTATTATCCAACTGGTACTGAGCGAGTGCAGTATCCAGGCTGTGCAGGGTGCTTAAGCACCAAAATACTAAGCTGCTCAGGTAAAACTGCAACTCAAGAGCAGTAAGCCGATCTGTTAAACTCTCAATACTAGGGTGCTAACAACATGCACTCATTAGGAAACAGCCCTGGGTTGTCGGGATACACAAAACGAATATCATAATAAGATCCCCATATAATTACCCCATATTCTATACCCTAGATTCCCTATATAACCCATTATAGTAGTTTCCATTCTCTTTTCCATTATCCCCATATAACCCCATATTCCAGAAATATACGGAGCCTGTCTCCGCCCGTGACCCCAACTACATACAGCTTGGTAATTATTACATGCTAAGTCATAGTTATAACTTATAACCCATGAAAGTGTAGGTAATTGGGCTTACACCCTAAACCCTAAACCCTAGAAGGTTCAGAATAGACCTCCATGCCCTTCTTCCATGCTAAGTGGTTTAGGGTTTAGGGTGAACAAGCTCGCGTACCAGGGAGTGTAATGGGCATCCTGATATTAAGGCCCTTGAGAGGAGAGGAGGTGCCGTAAGCAGGGGTCTACACTAAGACTTCTACCTAGACCCTCCATCTACCCTAAATACCTACTATTAGGGACCATATACCCCTATTGAAGGGCACAAGGAGGGTCCTGGTATATGCATTCCATCAGTATATGAGCACCTGAGCTACTGTAGAGAAAGGAACCTTGCGTCTTAGGGTACCTACGCTGCTGCAATGCCCCAAACCCTAAACCCTCAAGCCCCGCACTGCCAAGCTCAGGATTTAGTGGCAGTTTAGGGTTTAGGGTTTAGGGTGGTGGGTTTAGGGTTTAGGGTTTAGGGTTTAGGGTGGTGGGTAGGGTATAAACATTCCGCCAAAACCCGAGTAATGCTTGACTCCAATTTGCCTGGGTGCCCTTAATTGTGAAGTTTTGCCGCAAGCATTCAGCATGCCCTGATTCGTTTTTTTGGTGGCTTAATTGCGCAAAGTTGCGCGGCCTTAAACGCCAGTTTCTGCGAGTAGCCTAGTAAAAGCGTGCTAAATTGATTTACTTTGCTTCCTGAAACATGGGCATTTCTCACTGATCCCTCCCATTGAAGTGAACTTAGCAGTACGACCCAGCTTTGTTTGGGGTGGGTCCACCCCCCTGTGCAACTAAAAAGAATCGCATTTGCTGATCAGGACCCCGCTCAAACCTAAACCTTGGTGGGGCTTTAGGCCCCCAATTACGACAGTCTGACTGATTTAGGGGACCTCAAGCCACACCCTAAGCCCTGAACCCCAAACCTCAAACCCTAAACCTTTAGGGTTTAGGATTTAGGGTTTAGAGTTACCCTAAACCCTGAACCCTAAACCGTGTACTTGGACCCTTTGGCTCCACTAGAGCCATGCTCCGTTGCCTGCCAATGCCCGTGACGATGATGTACGGAGGGGCTTTGGTACCGCCACTGTCCCGCTGGACCAGAGGTAGTATTTCCTTGGTACACCCTAAGGGTCCAAGGACCCAAATAATAAAGCTTTAGAGATCAAATACTATAATGTTAATGGTATTTGGGCCCTAAAACCCTATTATTTGAGTCCTTGGACCCTCAGGGACATTTTGCGCGCTTAAGATGTGAGGAGTTCCCTAAACACTGGTCCTGAACCTAAATTGGCCGAGAATCTGATAGCCACCACCGGGTAGCCAGCCACGCAGCACCCGAAGACCTAGGAATTTAGGGTTTCGGGCTGATGGTTCACTAGTCCATGAGTTCCGATCCCCAACTATGAGCCCAAAAGCACGACATTCTATGAGAACACATAGCTTTGAAAGATGCCTTAACACTAATCCAACATACCTCCCTCTTTTGCCCGACGCCATGGGAAGCCATCAACTGGTGGATTTTCCTTCCAGAAAGCTCCCAAAAAGACCCCAGAACCCAGTGGCGCGGAAGAAGACCGATCTATGGACTATACCCAGCAGTACTGAACTTACAACCAGGACCTTCCTTGTACCCTTAATTGGGGATATATGGTCCCTAATAGCGGGTACTTAGGCCCTAATAGAGGGTAGGAGGAGGGTCTAGGAATACAACTTTAGACTGCAGGCAATAGGAATGTAGAAAGAACCAGAGTTCAACATGCGAAGCTTGTGTCTTTCCTGAAGAGAAAGCAAAAGCACTCGTGCGATCCTCTTACCCACCACACCTATGCCCACTCAATCCCTTCGACCCTAAAACCCGTTTTTCATCCCGCAACCCTAAAACCTACATACAAAGTCCTCGTAACATTTCGACTTGCTGGGTCCATGATGGCCTTTAACCCAGATTACTCACAGGTTCGGTTAGTAGCAATCAACGGCATAACACCCATGAAGCAATATGCAATTGGGCAAACGCATACCTATGATTGTGTTAAAGGCTTAGGGTCTAGGAATCGAGTTTGAAAAACAAAAACAGGGATTATAGTCCCCCTTACGTAGATAGAACATGGGGTATATGGGGATCTTATTATAACATACCCAAGGCCATATTCTATCTACTTAAGGGGGACTATCAGGTTTGAGATTTGGGCGCTTCGGGTTTACGGTTCAGGGTCTGCAGCGACATGCTACAGGCTCTCGGATTTAGAAAGTATTGGGATCCTAACCCCTAAGCCCATGGAGTTTAAGGCGAGGGTTTGGACATCTGGGCCCCTAAGCCCACAACCCTAAACCCTATGGGTTTAGGGTTTAGGGTGGGGTAATCCCTAAGCCCTAAGGTTTCGGGGATAACTAATCTCTCCCTGAGGGTCCAAGTACCTAATAATCATATACTTACCCAAAACCTGTCGGATATTACTATTGCCGTAAACCCGAGTACGTGATTATTGGCTACTTGGACCCTCTGGGTCCAGCAAGCCCTAAACCCTAAACCCTACTCATGGGTGGTACACAGGAAAAGCCGGAGAAAAGATGATCATAGAAGCTAGCATTCAGAGTGTAGGGTTTAACTGGGGTATGGCTGAATTGTGGCTCCCATCAGGGTTTAGGGTTTAGGGTTCTACTATTCATTCCCTTAATCTCTATGCATCATCAGGAAGTTAAGCCTCTATTCTAAGCCCTAAACCCTAAACCCTACGCTGTCAAGGAACAGGTCGTGCAGATCCAGCATGGTTTTCCCCTTGCGAAGTAGGCCACTGTACCTCAAGTTCCCCCAAAGTGTACGCGAACCAAACCCTGAAGGTCCAAGGACCCCAATAATAGGGTTCTAGGCCCCCAATACTATGGTATTAATGGTATTTTGGCCTTAAAGCCCTATTGTTTGAGTCCTTGGACCCTTAGGGAAACATTTTGTCTCAAGGTACTGAAAGCTCTTAGGATTCTTGTATTTTGTGCTAGAAGCGGTTTTTGATGGGCTCAGCCCACAGCAAACCCTACACCCTACAACACGCACCCCAGAGCCCTACTCTAAACAGTACCTTAGGGCTCCCAGTTACCTAAATTGCAGGTTACTGGGCTATGTAACTACAGGGTATATAGAACCCCCAACTTGTCATTTAGGCAACTGGAGCCCTAGGGAGTAGGTATCAACCCAAGACTGGCGCCCCTAAAACCTATAAACTGACGGCGGGGTTAGGCTGTACCTGAGAGGTTTTGCAGGCTAGGCTAGAGGGTTTCCCTAAGGGTCCAAGTATCTAATAATCATATACTTACCCAAACCCTGTACCATAATTACTAGTAACCTAAACCCAAGTACCTGACGATTGGGTACTCTCTGGGTTTAGGGTTTCGTCTGATTGCGGTTCCGGCTTCGCAGTAGAAGGTCTGATTGGGCAGGGGTAAGGGGGTCTACTCAGGGCCAAGGGCTTGGGGTTCAGGGTTGTGTCTGGGCTACATGCACAAGATTTCCTGGGGTCGCTTCACATGAGCTATAATCAAAACTCCTAGTATCCCACTTTATAAGCCCTATGATGCTCCCCGATATAATCCCTTATATAACCCCCTTTAAGGAGTCTAGACCCCAAACCCTAACCCCTGCGGAATCCCCTATATAACCCCCTTTCGGGAGATTAGAATAGCTCACCCTAAGGGTCCAAGGACCCAAATAATAGGGTTCTAGGGCCTAAATACTCTAATCTTAATGGTATTTGGGACCTAGCAAGCCATAATTCGGGGTCTTGGACCCTTAGGGTCGCATTAGATTCAAACTGCATCTTTGCGCAAGGGGGGTCTAAGGCTTGAAGGCCAAGACCCTGTGCAGAACTCTCTTGGCGACTATAGGGATTCTATTGGGTAATATAAAGATTATTTTGGGATAATGGAAAAGAAAATGGAAGGTACTATATCTATATATATATATATATTAGGGTCAAGGGTTTCACCGTTTGTCGCCATAATAAAGCTCAAGCAGTTCAGCCTTGATCCCTCAACTCCAAATGGACCCAACAGTACTAGAAATTGTAACTCCAGCTAGTTCTGAAGATTATAGACAAATATAGAAGCGCTGGAAAGTGCAGCCTGGCTGCAACGCCCAACAAGGCAACTCTAACCCCAGTTCCTATTTAGTTTTCCACTTCCATTCGCATTGGATTGGCCACCGTTGGACGAAGTACAAGCCCTGAATCCTAAGCAGTAGCTTCCGTTTCATGTTCCATTTGATTCTCCCTCTTCGGGGGGAAGACCCCTAAACCCTGCAACCCTTAACCCTAAACCCCTAGATGATGAACCCTAAACCCCTAAATTACAATCCTAAACCCTAAACCCTAAACCCTAAACCCCTAAACGCTAAACCCTAAACCCTAAAGCTGAAGGAGCAAGGTGCGCTCCTGCCTGGACGGCCTCGAGGAAAAGTTGATAGCCCGGCGCTGTGTGGTACGTGGCGTTGAGCACTGCCTTGACCCAAAGGCTCCATGTAGCTATATGGTACATATTTGGGCCCTAAAGTAATTATATGGGAACCCATTTGGGCCCTAAGTATATACCATATAGCTACATGGAGCCTTTGGGTGAGGTGTTCAGGATTTAGGTTGTAGAGTTTAGGGTTTAATTAGAGTTTAGGGTTTAGGGCTTGTGTATTTCTACCCCAACTTTATGCTTCTCAAGCCAGGTGCGATTTTCCATGATTGGGTTGTAAGCACCCGCCATAGCTGGGTTGAATTGCCCTGAACCTCCTAGTAAGGTTCAGGGTCGGAGAAGTGAGATGGTCGAAGACTTAGGGTTCAGAGACAATGATTAGGTCTTAGGGTTCAGGGCCATGAGGTACTGGGTACTTGCACCCTGAGGGAAAGCTGTAGAGTGCAGCATGTACTGTGTACCCTGCAGCTATACTGTAGAAATCTAGATACGCAAGGACTTGATGGGATACATTGACATGGTCGCCTGAATCGAATCCTAGTTTTGCTCTTCAGGAAATCAGACTGTTGAAGCCCAACGTTCCCAGGCAGCTGCAATGAGGTGATTGTTTCCTTCTTGCAGGGCCGTGCAACTTGCCATATTTTGACTATACTAAGTAAGTAAAGAAGAGCACGCCAAGTAGCACCTCTTCAAGTACGGAAGTGCATGCATCTATATGCTCAAGTCAGGCAACGTTGTAGCCGCTCCTTGGCTGCTCCCAGGGTCTGCGGAGGGTGTTCCCAAAGGCTCCATGTAGCTATATGGTATATACTTAGGGCCCAAATGGGTTCCCATATAATTACTTTAGGGCCCAAATATATACCATATAGCTACATGGAGCCTTTGGGGTTGTAGTCTTTCAACATTTGGTTACGTGGATCCTCAGAGTTATGTTGCATATTGACCGGTTTCAAGCAGAAAGTATGCTTGACCTCCGTGCACCATGCTCGTTGTATTCTTCGGGCTTTCCCAATGTGGGCTACAGCTACGGGTTTTAAGTTTAAGGGTTGAGGGCTGGAACGACTGTCGAATTCTGGGCTATACAATGATTCCCTTCATCGTCATTTATCCTTACGTATTGAAATTCTCGTTTGCGGGGGACATTGAGGTGCGGAACCTGGGACCAGGAAGCCCCAAACCCCAAATCCTACTCCCTACTCCCGGAACCCCGCATTCTATATCGATAGACGGGAACTGTTCCAGGATCACGCGGTTTAGGCTCTAGGGCTGAGGGTTCTGGAGTAGGATTGCTGTGGGACATCTTAAGACATACCCCTTTGAAGCTAGTTCGGTTGGGGTAGCTACGCCCCTACTAAGACCCGCAACCAACATTGACTCCCAGAAAGCGCTCTGTACGACTACAGTCCTTCACGCGTAGGCGTAACCTAAAGTGCATTTCAGAAGAGCATGGCCCTCATGAACATGAAAGTCTCAATCAAACCTGAAGCCAAAAAACCTTAGCCCCATCACGCCCCAAGAAAACGTAGTAGCACAATCCTGAACCCTCAACCCTCCTCCCAACAAAACCTGGCATGCATTCAGCCCATCCTAGCGTCAAGTCGTGACCAAGCCGTGCCGAAGCCATAGAAGAAAAGAGTTGCAAAGCCAGCGGCCACTGACTCTCTGCCTGAAGGGGATTACGGCTTAGGGCTCAGGTTTTGAAAGCGGGGTACCCTGAGTGTTCCGTTGTTCAAAGGGCTGTACTATAATGCAAGAATATAGGGATTCTGTAGGAGACATATGGGAAGAACTCGAGGAATCTTCTTAAAACCTGGCTTCTCCTCTATACCCCTCGAGGATACAAACCTTCTTTGCATGGCAATCAGGTCATAATTCTACAGCCCTGCTTTTGGGGGCTGAAGTTACCAAAGTGCATCTGTCAATATTGCTACTCCTATGTTTTTTCATTCTCATGTTATTTTTTGCTATGACTTTATATGCACTTTTGACCATTTATCAGAAACAACATACTCGTCCTTAAGATACCGAAACCACCAACAGTCTTGACATCTCCTATAGCCCCACAACCGGCCTACAACCCCTTTTACAGAAATCCAGGCCTTGCAAGAAGCCATGGCGCTTGCAAAGCTCGTCTCGTCGGGCATGACGCTGAGGTCCGGCAGTGCGAAGAACAGGCACAAAGCCTTGAGGGGGTACGCTGGCGGAGGGACCTCTCAAATAGGTTAGAGGGCTTATGAGGGTTTGAGGGAGAGAGAGAGAGAGAGAGATACATATATATATATATATACAGAGTGATATACAAATACGTACATAAAGGATGATAGGATAGCATGACATATCTGTATATACATATATAGACACACTATTCATGTACACACACATATAAATATACTTTTATGTCCAGGGTGCGTGGACTAAAGCTTCAGATTTGTGGGTTTGAGCTTCTCAAAAAAGGGATCTGGCTATTCGGTGCTCTATCCAAACCATTTTGGTGATTTACTCTTAACCCTAATCTCTGAGGTTTCGTGAGATGCGGCATTAAGTTGAGGATGCCCCTTAGACCCAGAAGACCCTCAGCTTTTCTGTTTCATATAAGTATTCCTGCCAAGTACAACTCGAGATAGTTTGGGTGTGAGGTAGACGTCCCGGTATCGCCACAATGTCCATTTCATGTCGTATCTTCTTTGTCATATGAGGGCGTAAGGCTTGAGCCTAAAGTTTTGGAGAGGTCCTGGATATCCTGACTAGAAACCGACTAACTTAGGTGGACCCCTCGCCCTGCAATAGTGGTATATTAGGAACATAATACGACCCTAGTGTCGTTACTCTTGTCCCATATATAGTCACTATTACAGAGTGGGGGGTCCAACTAACGTAGCCCTAAACCCTAAACCCTAAAAAGTAGCTTCCATGTTCTTTTCCATTGTCCATATATAACCCCTATATACGCTCTTCTCTAGTTGCTATTACAGGGGATGTGTGTATAGCCTGCCTCTGTGTAGACGTTGGAGCCCTCTGGCTTAGGTTTTAAGGTGAACGCTTCTTGGGACCCTATTTAAACAGGGTGCTTTAGTTTCAATTCCCAATTTCAGGCCATTTTGGTACTACTCCCTAAATAGACCACCATTTAGGGTCAGGTCGCTCTAACTTGCCCAGGTTAAACTAGTATGACCCGTGGGGTTTGATAGTAAAGCGTATAGTGAGAGTTTCTGCGAATGAGCCACGCATGCTACAAGGTGCGGCCCCCTAGCTACATAGATATGCTTGTAAGTCGAATCACAAGAAATAGGACATATCACCTCTTTCAATCCTATCATACCCCAGATATACACCAGCTTGCAAAAGGGGCCCTCCTCGAATAAACTTAAGCGCTGAACCCTCTCCTTGTAGATCCCCTGCCAAAACAAAACCCTAAACCCTACACCCTACACCCTGAACCCTAAACCTATATAAAACAAAACCCTACACCCTAAACCACAATTGCTTCCAAGAAGCCGACTGCCATTGCTCGCCCCTCTGCAATGCTGAAAGGGTGGCACCTGGGCACTTCCCGCTTGAAGGGGTAGGGTTTAGGGTATAGGGGTTAGGGTTTAGGGTGTAGGGCTTAGGATTTAGGGGTTAGGGTTTAGGATTTAGGGTTTAGGATTTAGGGGTTAGGGCTTAGGGATAATCATGGGGAAAGTTTACTGTAAGGTTCAGGATCTCGACTTTTTAGTTCAGGGTTTAAGGTTAAGGGCTCAGAGTCAAGGGTCTAGTGTTCGGGGCTGAGGCAGAAGAGAGCTTTACACATACTTGAATATGTCCTAGATAGTTTAGGTGGAGCCCCCACCCTGTAATAGTGGTATAGTAGACATATAGGAGGACCCTAACATAGTCACCCTTATTCCTAATAGTCACTATTGCTGGGTGGGGGGGGGTCCACCCAAAATATATCTTAGACAGTAGCTACAATCAAAACCCAATTTCAGATTTCCACGCCCCCCCAAGCAGAGGCCCTATAGACGATCTTGTTTAGGTTTATGATGTGCCATGGTACTTCTACTGGGACGTTCAGGGTACTTCCAGCCCAAATAGGACTGGCTAAGCCTAAACCCTAAACCCGTGCTCGCAACTCAAATTCTATTCAAATTAGGGGACTTAGAGAGCTCAGAACTGCACCATAAGTACAGACACCGTTGGGTTGTACCTACCCCAGACCCCTGATTAATGAAACCCCTCCCTTTATAGGGATTAGAATACGGATCCTAATATTTAGGCCCTTAAAAGGAAGGGGTTTATCAATCATGGGTCTACATTACGCTGAACGTCCAAGTACGCTGCTTGGGACACACGCCTTACACTTACGTTGAGGCAGTAAATGCAAAAATGCCCTATGGGTCAAGCATACAATCTTCACATATTTTGGGATCCGTATGATGCTGATTTAGGCTTATGGGAGTATGTGATAGCTGTATCCTTTTTACCCCGGAGATTTTTTTTTAAAGTTTACTCAATGAACTGGGCGCTGTAGCTGATGACGTTCGGAGTCACGTGGTCGCCTTCAGGTTCCCAGGGCATCAGGCAAAGAGTTTATGTCCTGGGGGCCCTTTTGATGCAAATCCTTGAAAGCGCTGACAAACAGGAACAAAGCAAGCTCATGTTCTTGAAGGTTTCCATGTTGCGTGAATTCAAAAGCTGCCATGATTTGCGAACAGGTATTTCTGAGCATATTCCATCAGCATGAAGGCGTTCCTGCAACAGAAACCCTTGAGTTGGTCAGAAAACTATCAGAAAAGGGTGGTCGCGTGGGCTATGGCGACCTTGAAACACAAGCGGAGAACTTATCCTATGACTATTACCAATAAATTAATACTATTACTATTCTGGCAATAGTTATTACGATTACGATTACTATTGCTCTACCCTTCTGTACAGGGCGGCCGGCGTGCCAGTGCTTCTTTCCACATGCCCTTGCTGGGATCAGTAGGAGCAACCATGTAGTCTTTAACAATCAGGACTTGAAATCCAAAAAACAAAGCACTACACTCCCCCAAACTAACATGGAAACCCATATAGTCCCTCTTTTAGAAGGACTGTAGTCTTTATAGGGGCCTTTGTGGTTTCCATGTTAGTATCCGGGAGTGTAAACCCTAAACAGTGGGTACTGTACCCCCTCAGTAATTACAGTTGGATAGTACTTATAATATGGTTATATATAGCCCTTAATAGGACCCCTAATAGAGACTGGTACTAGGTGGGGGTAGTACCCAACCTAAACCCTTTGCTGCAAATTCTTGCGAGGCAGGGAACTCCTCAGCCCTGGGCTGGGCAGCTCTACTCCGAATCCCCCAAGTACGACTCATGGAACTCCGAACCGTAGGTTCAATTTGTTTGTTTTGTTTTGTGGGACCTTTTCTCTAGTAGTTTAGGGGTTTAGGGTTTATCCAACTTGTTCCTATTGAGGCCCCTCCCTGTAACCCCTGAAGCCTAATCCCTCAAGCCATAGCCCTTGATGCATAGCGAAGGCTTCTCTCTGTACCGTGCCTTGTCAGAGCTCTTGGTGGGAGGCTCTCAAAAAATGTCTTCCATTTAAACCTAACGTGAACCCCTAAATCCACTCATGATCCCGGTCAAGAGCCCTCCTATTCTGAGAAGGAGAGCCCAAACCCCAAAGCCTAAACCCTGAATCCTGAACCATAAATCCTAGACCATATTCATCCCTGGACGCTCCTCCCATGGATTGCAGGATATCCAGCGCGAGTTGCCACTGGGCGCCCTTCCTTTTTATGGAAGAGCTTTAGGTTCAGGGCCTGAGGGTCAAGCGTCTGGGTTTAGGGTTTCTGGGTTTCTGGGCTTGGGGGGGTTTAGGTTCACGCCTCCGCACCCCCCGCCGGTCCCTCGTTACAGAGAAGCTTCCCTTTGGATCAGATGGGTGTTTTCCGGAATATCTACTGCTGGGGGAAGGGGGATTCAATATTAGAGGAGGGAATCTGTTGCACTGAGACACGTGAGGCGAGAGGAACCAAGGAACCACTTCATTCTGGCGGTAAGCTTGGACGGCTGAAACCTAACAAGGTGCATCTTTACAGGTTCCGTGTGAGTAGAGTTTGTGTGGTCACATTATTCTTCAGGAAGTAATCTACCTAAATAAGGATAGAATCTTACTCTATATCTTGGGGACCATCAGATCCCCCAACAATACGACTCACGTCAGCTCAGGGGAGGATATGCGACGCTTGTACAGGGAGGCCCTGAACCCTCAACCCCTAAATCCTAAACCACTAAACTAAAGCCTAAACAACTAAACCCCAAACCACCAAAACCTCAAACCCTAAACCCCTAAACCCTAAAGCACCGAAACCCCAAACCCTCAAGCCCTAAGCCCTAGACTCCTAAAGCCTTAAACCTCTAAACCCAAAAGCCCCAAACAGCCGAAGCCCAAACCACTAAACTTAACCCTAAATCCCTAAACCCTAATGCCCCAAACCCCCGAACCCTAAACCACTAAACTAAACCCTAAATCCCTAAACCCTGAAGCCCCAAACCCTCAAACCCTAAACCACCAACACCCCAAACCCCAAACCTAAACCCCCAAACCCTTAAGCCCTAAGCCCTAAACTAAAGCCTCAAACCCCAAACCCCCAAAAACCCGAAACCCTAAACCCCTTCGAGTTTGCCGGGAAGGGCTCCGGAGCATCCAATTTGGAGTTCCAGCCCCTAAGGGTCCTAAGAATCCCCAATAGGTAGGGTCCCTTTAAAGGGGTTATAGTTCAAGGGGTTATAGGGGGGAGATATAGGGACACAGACCATATAGGGGTATATATGACCCAAATAATTGGAGTTTTAGGGCCCAAATTCTATGCTATTGATGGTATTTGAGCTTTAAAACCAGATTATTTGGGTCCTTGGCCCCTTAGGGAGAGGGTTGAGCAATAAAGGGCCCCATATATGTTTAGGGATTAGTTTAGGGTTTAGGGCTTAGGGCTTTGGGTTTAGGGGTTTAGGGATTAGGGCTTAGGCGCTTAGGGAGCGATTAGGGTTTAGGTGCTTATAATAACTTAGGCTATAATTATGCGGTAGCTGAGTTTCAGTGGGGATGAGTCTTTTCATGCTAAAGCCAATTCTCATGAGTACC